GGAAGGGGGGATGTCGAGAGGAGGGGGCCAGCCTCTTCTCCATGGTGCCCAGCGACAGGACAAGAGGCAACGGGCAGAAAGGGAACCACAGGAAGTTCCATCTGAACCTGAGGAAAAACTTCTTGACTGTGAGGGTGACAGAGCACTGGAACAGGTTGCCCAGAGAGGTAGTGGAGTCTCCTTCCCTGGAGATATTCAAAACCCGTCTGGACGCGTGAAATATGCTGGGAAATATGCCCTAGGTGACTGTGCTTGAGCAGGGGGGTGTGGACTAGATGATCTCCAGAGGTCCCTTCCAACCTTGGTCATTCTGTGATTCTGTGAAAGCTTTTTAGACTGCAAATCCTACCAACACAAAAAATAAGCAGCAAAGTCATTCAGTGCCTTGTTTGTACTCCACATGATTATTCTTTATGATGGCTACTTTTTACTCCCTTCCCCTGCCCAGATATTTCTGCATGCACTCATAAACTACTGCTTTAACAAAACAACAGAATTCAGAAATATATGAAGCAAACAGACAAGAAATTTAGAAGAGATTCTTATAAATACAGATGTTGGGTTGATTTCCCCATCCCTCAAAAGAGAGTACATGTCAAATTGAGGAAATAAGTCCAGATCTGGGACAAATTACTCCTTAAGAACTTGCTACCTAAAGCAATGTTTTCAAAACACTGGTAGTAGATTCCATCTAACTAGTTCTTCTTTACCGCTATATAATTTAAATCCCTTTTAAACAATAATCACTTACATGATAATCAGTGTAGGCTGTTTAATTATTCTTTCAAAGGGGAAGTCGGGCTGGGGAAGCAGAGCAGATACCCACCAAAATCAATGGAGAGTTTCAGTGCCTGTTGAGACATTCCTCATGCACACCTTTAGTGGCGGTCCTGCAGTTCTAGGAGGGGATTCTGCATGACTCATTCACAAAGTCTGATGGTCCAGAACATAGTAAGGCCCATATTTTGTGTGCGTATGTTAATGTGAAATAAGGTTTTAAAGAATTTATGGATCTATTTGGGGTGTGGATGTGGGATATTTTCACTATATGGAATGTAGATAGCACTGTATGACATAGAAGTTCTGGGTGACAGACTACTTAAGAGTCATACCTTTAGGTTGGATTTCCTAGTAGAAAAAAATACAGTAACTTGTTCCTAGAACTGAAGAAAAAAGAAAAGCATTTAAGGGTAATCATACAAATTTATGTAATTTCCAGTCTCTACATATTCAATCTCTATGTAATCTAATAATCTGTACATATGATAAATTAAATGGTTCATACACATTTGACTTCCATCCCTACCTTCTGTTCCTGTACTGACTCAGATTGGGTCACCTTCCACCATCTCAAATCTCAAGTTTTGTGGGTTTTTTGATATAACCCACCAAAGATGTGTTTGCTTATTATTTGGCTTAGATAGAATTTTTTTGCTCACGCTGAATTGGTCATAGGAGCAGAACAGATGTATTTTTATAACTGAATTGGTGGATTTCTGGTATATATGTAAACCTCAGTCCTGCAAAGTAGAGCCAGCTCAACACTTCTCAGCAATATATGCAAAATGGAATTTTCGTGCCTCAAAACTGAGAGACTAAGGAGGGGTTGCTATTACTATAGGAAAGGAATTAGAGGGAGAAGGACTTGAAACCATGTGGAAAAGCAGAAGTGTTCAACTTCAGCACCCCTGAAAGGGTGGTAGCATGTTGCTGGAGACAGCACTGCTGGGAGAAGCCTCCCAACCCCAGCAGTGAACAACACTCCAGACATTCTGCTCCTTCTCTGCACGGTGACAGCTGCAGTAGCAACAGCCAGCCTGCCTTTCCACAGCTCTGGCAGGACCATGACTATTCACACTGTCTTGGACCACAGCTTACTTTGCCCACATCTGCAGCTAGTCTGCTGAAAACATTTGCATACTCCTATAAAAGCCTCCTTGATTTTTGTGGGAGAAACTCACAGCATGCAGTATTAAGTATGTTCGCTTATTTTTCCAAAGTTGTAGCCTCAGCACCCAGTCTATGGTGACTGGAGGCTAGAGATGGGATCTTCATTCTCTTCCCAAGGAGAGTCTCAGACCTCCGCTGAGCCACAGCACTCACACCCAGCCCTGGAAAATTTCTGAACTACTGCAGCTTGCCATCACAAAAACATGTAAGTATAAGGAAACTATTTGAGATAATTTGCAGCAATTGCTAAAATGAACTTGTAATTTCATCTCCTCCTGAGTCCCGTTCAGTTGGACTCATGCCACACAGCATGTTCAGAATGCTATCTAATTTCCATTTGTATGAGGCACAGTGTTTTTAACATGCTTGCCAATTAGAAGTCTATGTAATAATTTTTCCTCATTAACAGCCTTAACTCAACCAGCCAAAAGTACATTTGCTCCCACATTTTCACCAGTTACATTCCAGCTGGGTGTATGTTGAGTTCATTACACCTAAACTGCATAGTAACTGCATGATGCAGCTCTTAGGTTCCTTCCTCTTTGCTCGCTGTCCCCTCCAGGTCCACTCACTGCTGTTGTTTGTTTTACTTGCTTTGCTTTAAAACTATCCTCCTCACAAGTCTATATAGTCAATGTACTGCTGATGTGGCTCAATGTCAATATAAGCTGCATTGCAGAGGAAAACCTGTGTCTTAGGAAAGCAGTAGGTTTGGGCAGCAGTACTGGAGGGTAGAACTGGTAATAAGCACAGGAACAAAAAGGTAGGAACAAAGCCTTTCCTCTACATGAGTGGTTTGCTTTGCTATTCAGCTTAGACTTGTCAGGCTGACAACATTGTGCAAGGTCCTCAGGCAATTGCTTTGATTGTTTGCCCTGAACTTGCGCTAAAAGTCATTTGGTATTTTGACCCTGAAGTTGGAAGTCTGGTGTTGACGAATGAATCCCTCAAGGAAACAGTACGGTTCCAGTGCTGTCTGCTGACATCTGCCAGCTGAGGATTTGGTGTTTGGTACCCAGGAGGCAGATAAAGTTTGGGATGCTGAGAGAGGAAATTTCTCTTTTCTCTCCTGTTCAGGTAGGAGCAGGTGTGAATTTTAACTAGTGGGGACAGGACACTTTTTGTGTATTTCTTACTAATTTACATTAACTAGTTGTCCTGCTACGTTTACTCTTCTCACTTCATGCAGTTTTAGAAAACAAGTCCATAATTCTGTGTCCCTGAATTTTGCTGAAATGACGCAAAGCTAATAGAAGGTTGTATATTGTCCTCAGACTCTTACATCTAGCAGCCTGCTAAGACAGGTGGAGCTGACGCATTTTTTTGAGATAACCATCCTCAGTCTGCAGGGAAGGGCGGCAAATATGCCCCAGTGGCAGCAAATATCCTCTTAATCTGAAACTTTTGTTTACAAAAGTAAGGGAGGAGAATATCAATAAAGGGAAGATAGGTTTGCAGCAAAATTAATTGGCAAGTACGGAGTTGGGTGCTATTAATCTTGATAGGTAACTCTGTCCTTCAAGGGTTGCTAATCAGTGCCATATATGTTAAGACTGCCAGGCTAGAGAGTGTCCCTGTGTCATCAGGCTTGATGTGCAATAGCACAGCTCCCCTGTGGACAGGCTACAGATCTGGACCTGCTGAAATTTTCTTCAAAGGATGCCTCTGAAGTCACATGTTAAGCATCAGTTATATCACAGATGTACACCACGCTGAAACTCTATCACATTGCGTATCTATGAGGTATCTCACCCAAATTCCTAAAGTCTAAAGCTCCCTGTCCAATCCAAACATCTTCTTACAAGTGGCTTCAAGCATGCCCTCTCCGGAAGTTATTCTTTGCAGCAGAGGAAACTGAGAATTAATGTTTTTCCAAGAAGCCATCTCCTCCCTTAGCAGGAGGTGCAAAGGTCTAGAAAATCCACTGGAATACATTTCTGTAGCTGGTGTAATTCCTTTTTCAAATGAACCTTCTCATCTCTTAGGACAGAATACTCTGCTTGCATCTGTTCCAGATTTGGCATTTTGTAATCTGAAGCTAGTTGCATAGCCGTCCTGCTACAAGTTATCACAGGCAGGGCACGCCATGGCTTTTTGTCAATTTGTTCTGAGCCTAAATTAGCTCCCAGTGTGTCAATAAGATGAATGTTGCTACAGTAGGAGCTCAACAGTAGTGGGTAAGATTATCAGAAGAATCATTATGTGCTATGCGTGTACTGATTACAGTATACAATACTACTGATGTACTCAGATAATGGGGTAGATGGACCTAAGTGAAGCAATGACAGCTGTGTCTTATAACAGCCAATTTGTCATGCAGGTATCACTACATCTAGCCTTTATTATGTGTATACTGCTGGATGGAATTGTCTTCGTGTTCATGCCATATTACACTACTGTCAGGCACAGCTCTTCCTAAATGCAACTGTTTAGGACCCCAGATTGTCTTACTCAAAAATGCTCACAAGGGAGAAAATTCCACTTTTGGCAATTATCTCAGGGAGCAAAGCCCCAGTGTAATGGGGATAGAAAGCTATTCTGTAGAAAGCTATTCCGACTGTAGCCTAAAACAAATATAAATGGTTTAGGGTGTGATAATATTTTGAGTGGAGACTTTCAATGGCATAAAAGGAAGGTATCCGATTCACATTTGTGCCTATTTTTTCTAAGAATGTCACTTACTAGAACGAAATTGAAAAAATCCTTCTGCTCTTATAAACACTTGTGAGCAATACAGTCAGCACAAGCTTGTAGCAAAAAAGAAAAACTTACACTAAGACTATCCCCTCCGTTCTTTCTCTGTAATACTCAGTCTTGCACAGAAGAATTGTACTAGTACGATATTGTTATAGTTGCAAAGTCAAGTGCTCAAAGGTTAGGAAATAAGAACTAAGTTCACGTGTGCAACCTAAATTCAATCTCCCTTTCATTCAGAATATGATATAATTCCTAACCATATGATCACACAGTGTTTTCTATCAGACCATTACCTTATTTGATGTGCAAAAAGATCAATTGCAGACTTCTCATCACTCTAGCATCCTCACTTTTCTTACCAATGTCTGGTGTCTTCGTCCACGCAATTCTAGTTTTCACCTTGTATCCTAACTCTCCATCAAATCTCTTGTTCTCTTTCTGTGTCTCATGGTAGAAATAGGCTTTCCACTGCTAGTTCCAGCATCATCCCTACCTGAGCTGGAGTAGACACGGGCATCAGTTTAGAAAAACTGAAGTTTTGCTTCTGCAGCAGTGGGTAGGAAGGAATAAATTCAGTTGCTCTCTGGGATCAGTAGATGCAAAACCTGCTAACAGAATTAAAAGGACAATAAGCTTTCTTAGTTGTTGTGCTAGACTAGTCAACACTAGGAAGAGTGTGAGGTCTGAGCTCACTTTACGGGTACAGATTCTTTAAGGATGTAGCTATTCCATTTTATCAAGTATCTACTAGGCATGCAGGGATTTTTAAAGGCTTACATAAATGGATTTTATTTATGCCCAGACACTGGAGACATTGTGGCCTAACTGAATTCTCAGAAGACTTCTTAATCATTACCAGCTGAATGTGTCCAGTTGCTGACCACCCAGTGATGTGCTGCCCACTATCTCAAACTTGTCACAGACTGTCCTGCACAAATAGTACTTGGAACTAGTCCTTCCATTCAATGAACTAATAGATAAAAATGACAGAACACTCTGTGTTACAGCCTGGTAGCTGCCATTGCAAATCTAGCACTGTATTTAGCATAAAACCTACTTCCAAGGAGCTGCATCTTCTTCCCCCTTCATCTGGGATGAAGCAGGTGAATATACCATCTCTTGCTGATCACTTGTCTTGACCTAATCTACCTAGCCTTGAGTTATGTTGAGTGGAGGAAGGTGGAAAGTTTCAAAAAACCATTGGCATCAACCAATCCACTAGAAAAAAATCTTTCAAGTCATTCCCTTCCATTAGAGTTGCTGTAATAACAACCTGGCATAGAAACAATAAGACAACACACTTGGAAATATTGTCAACACAAGCAAAGGGCTCCATTTTCCCCCTCTGTAGATGAAATTATTCTTTTAACTGACTTAAACACATGTTGATTTTGTTGGAAGCTCTGCTTGATCCGGTCCCTTCTTTTAAGCACTGCAGGAACTGTGAATTCTGATGCCATCCGTGATAGCCAAATGATTCTTCCTTTCCTCAGCACACAATTTGATAAAGACTGCAATCTTAGAGTAAGTAGCAATGCGGCAAGTATACACATAGCCACACTGTAAAATACCTGTTGAATAGGTCGGGCTTTTTTGTGTCTTGCCGAGTCCCTTTGATGTCACCTTTACACTTTGAAGCACTGTCCTTTTCCTGAGTCCAGCCTTGTCAGCTTGGCCTCTAGTACGTCTGACGGCTTTAGTGCTACCTGAAGAATCGGTGGAAAAAAAAACTTAAAGTGTCAAGATATAGCTTGAATCACAGAATGTTACTTCTCCAAAAAGAGGTGTTTAATGTTGACAGGTTCATTGGCACTAGCATTGGTCTTGCCTTGCTGCTCGGCCTCTAGCATCAACTTCTCTGTAAGTGCTGATGAGTGTGAGAAGGATTGTCCTTTTGTTAATGACAGTTTCACTGCTGAGATGGGGTGACCTTTTATATTCTTTTGTCAATGTAGCAAGTCCGGATCATAGTTCACAACTTCTCAAACGCCAGAAAGAACACAGAAACTTCCTTTAGTATTGACAGTCTTGGATAAGGAGAGCTGGATGCAGCTCACTGTCACCTCTCAGCCCCGGCAAAGGGGCATTTTAGTTAATTAACCGTACATTTCTGACATATACAACCACCTGTTGCCACTAAATGAGTCCTTGTTTGTACTCGTGGCCACTGTTTGGACTGTGCACTCCGTTTATAATCAGGAGCAGGTACATAAACTTCCATTGTGCTTTTGTCTGATAAGTATATGAAAGTGGACTTCCTTTTGTCAATTTTGTTAAATCGGCAAAAAAATGGCATTTCTTAGCCTTGGGATGACCAAGAAGCAAATAAGCCTGAGTTATTAAACAGCATGTGGGTTTTGTTCTCCCTTCATCAGAGAGCAGCAGCTAAAATGCATTTCTGCTTTCTAGAGAAACGCTCTATGAAATATTTATAAGGACAGCCCTGACTGGAAAAAAAGGCAAAATCTAGGATCTGACTTATAATTATGGTCATTTGGGGTCAAAAATATTCTTATTTGACTCAAATTTGGTAGTGATTCCTGCAAGTAAATTGGAGATACTCTCTCTCCCCTCACCCTCTATTTTTAATTCACTATTTTTATACAGATTTTAAAGGCCTGACCCTTGATACAAAGTTTAGATTTGCTTGTATATGTCCTGATATTGTATATTAGATTATAGGGTGTGTGTTGCTATCACTCATCCAACACTCCATGTTTTAATTTTTCTTTATGTTTGATATCTATACTTACTCTTAAGTCCTGTTTGCTTTTTTTTAAGTCAGACTCAGAGGAGCTTTAATATAAAGCAGAGACTAAATCAGTGTAAATGTGTCCAAGACCAGTTGTGTTACTGCTGTTACTTTGGTGGCCTAAGGAAGCAATCTACACACGCATCTGACATCCTCCAACATAACTCAGTGTAACCCACTGAGTTAAGGATATTAGAGCTGAGAGATGAAGCTGGGCCATAAAGGATATTGCTTGGACTGCACAGAAGTTGATGGACATCTTAACATTGCTTTCTTAATCATCAGAGGGCTTACTCTTGTCAGTTGTCTGAAGAGGCCATTTGGCTGCGGGAATAACTCATTCGTCACAGGTATTCTATGAGTTTATATAACTGACAGCTATTTTTACTTCTGGCAGATGCACTCGGTCAATGATTGAATGAGCCTTCTCTTTCTTAAGGAAGACACAATTCTTCAACTACAGTAAAGCCAGTTTTCTTTCTAATTAGCATCCTGGCTCTGGGGAGGCCTACATTGGTAACACTTTTAGAAGTTAATGAAGCTATTCTGAAAACAATTAAACCTCCCATGTATAAGACAGGTGATTCTAATGGAAACAAAAGGTCTTGTTTTCGTCAGGCAGAGCATCCTCATTTTTGCCTGTTGCGCAAAGTGTCCTTAAATGAATTAAAATCTAAACATATAAGGCCAAGAGTGGAAGAGTAATGCATCTTGCTCTTTAATATTGCTAGAAAGGATAGCTGATATTAATTATATAGGTCTACAACTCAGTTATGGCTTGTCTTAGTCTTACTTAGTATTCATACTGCAGGGCAATAAATGGTGCACTGTAACAAAAGAAAAACTAACAAGAAAAGGTGGGAGTCTCCGTGTCTCTGTGCGTGTGGTGAAATAGCAGAGCAATTACTAAAAAAGGAATTTCAAAAAATGTATTTTTTAAAATATATGCACACACACTTTTAGCCAGAACAGACTGGTACATAAAGGATATTCCAGACTGAGTACCACTGAAATCAGTGGCAGTCCAGTCCACTGACTTCAACATACTTTGCTTTAGGCTTAAGAATACCTGGGTCAGTTTCAGTTTCCTTGATACTGAAGTTTAAAGATACTTTTAAAAGTCCGTCCATTGGTTCTTTTCTTTTCCTGAAGTTTCTGTAGGGGGAACAGAGCAGTTACGCTAATGTTATCCAGAATTTCAATGCAAACAGCACAGGTGTGAAGACTCCTTTGCCAAAAACCATAATATTACAAACTTAGAGCCTAAAAAAGTAACAAGCACTAATTATGTATTACTCAGAGCTCTAAAACACTGGCATTGACTATATTATAGACACAAAATATAATCTTTTGAGTTACATTAGTCAGATTAGCAAAATATTACTCAATTATTTCTTTAAGAAGAAATACAGGTCTCTTTCATTGGTTTGACAATCAGGATAGGTCCCAACTTAAGAGTAGTGTCAAGTAGCAATGAAATTTCACAGAATCACAGAATGACCAAGGTTGGAAGGGACCTCTGGAGATCATCTAGTCCACACCCCCCTGCTCAAGCACGGTCACCTAGGGCACATTGCCCGGCATATTTCACGCGTCCAGACAGGTTTTGAATATCTCCAGGGAAGGAGACTCCACTACCTCTCTGGGCAACCTGTTCCAGTGCTCTGTCACCCTCACAGTCAAGAAGTTTTTCCTCAGGTTCAGATGGAACTTCCTGTGGTTCCCTTTCTGCCCGTTGCCTCTTGTCCTGTCGCTGGGCACCATGGAGAAGAGGCTGGCCTTATAAACGTTGATCAGATCGCCTCTCAGTCTTCTCTTCTCCAGGCTGAAGAGGCCCAGCTCTCGCAGTCTTTCTTCAGAGGAGAGATGCTCCAGTGCCCTCATCCTCTTTGTAGCCCTCCGCTGGACTCTCTCCAGGAGTGCCATGTCTCTCTTGTACTGGGGAGCCCAGAACTGGACACAGCACTCCAGGTGAGGCCTCCCCAGGGCTGAGGAGAGGGGCAGGATCACCTCCCCCCACCTGCTGGCAACACTCTGCCTCACGCACCCCAGGACGCCATTGGCCTTCTTGGCCACAAGGGCACATGGCTGGCTCATGCTTAACTTGTTGTCCACCAGCACTCCCAGGTCCTTCTCGGCACAGCTGCTTTCCAGCAGGTCAGTCCCCAGCCTGTCCTGCTGCATGGGGTTATTCCTCCCCGGGTGCAGGACCCTGCACTTGCCTTTGTTGAACTTCAGGAGGTTCCTCCCCGCCCAGCTCTCCAGCCTGTCCAGCTCCCTCTGAATGGCAGCACAGCCTTCCGGTGTGTCAGCCACTCCTCCCAGTTTCGTATCATCAGCAAACTTGCTGAGGGTGCACTCTGTCCCTTCCTCCAGGTCATTGATGAATATATTGAACAAGACTGGACCCAGGACTGACCCCTAGGGGACACTGCTAGCTACAGGCCTCAATTTCAGAAAACTGAAGTCATATCACATCTGCCATGCATCTCTCTTATTTTCCAGTTTTATGGCTATAAAAGCACTATCTATAAGTTAAAATATTTAATGTTTAAGTTAAAATATTTAAGCTAAATTTAAGTTAAAAGAACTGGCTCATAAGAAAGGGAAATTAATAACTGACAGCAATGGAAAAAGCACTCTCTGCACAAAGTAAATAAATAGAGAAAAATATCCCTTTCCACCAAGTTTTCTTAGATATAGGGCACAGTACTATTTAGGGCCCCTGTATTAACATTTTTCTTTGTGTCCAGAAATTAGCAGAAACTAGCAGAAGTTACCACAGAACAGTCGGTTTATTGTCTGAAACTTATTTTGGTATAAAAGACAAACCACTTTGGTTTTAAGAACTTCATTTCCTCTAAACCTATGTTTTTGATTCTCATGCTGTATTTTCTGGTTATTTAAAGGCATTCATTTCACTGGCCTGTATTTTTTCAGTTCCTAAAACCGCAGGGACTCTGGATTTTTTTCTAGTTTTCTTGTTTTTTTCTCTACATGCACAGGAGAATCTCCATGACATTTTAATTTAATGCCCATTGTAGGGAGCTTATGAAACAGAGCTTCTACTTAATGCCCAAGACAGCCAAGACAGGTAGCCTCTCCTGCAATACCTTTAATTGTATCAATTGCAGTGGAAGACTGATAACAAGAATCTCAATGGTTACTGCTCTCTGCAGATTTTTGGTCTTACTGTTAATGCTCCAGTACTATCAACAGTTGTGCAAGTTAGCATTCAGAAGTCAATAGCAGCAATTTAAAAAACAGTCCCAGCCATGCTGGGAAACACTAAATAATCCAGCCAGCCCTGCTAAATCAGATCTGAATTTCGCTTCCTTCAGTTCCATTGACAATATTCTGAACAAGCAGATGATTTTAGGCGAAAGTAGTGATTTTATCAACTCAGTGCAAAAGCAGGTCATGGAGAACTTAGTGTTTTGCCCATGCAAGTCCTGTACCTTGAGTGTAACACAGCAGCATCAATCTCTCTAGATATTTAAAATACCAGTTAAGCAGAGGGGTGGTGATGGGGAGAAGAATACATGTTGCTGGTTTTCAATATTTTAGCTGTTGTTGTAGCTAGACCATAATGCTCTATTAGAGTGGTAAAGCACTTTTCAGTCACCTACAGACAAAGTACTGTCTTTTTTCCCCAGAAGACCTCATAGTGGTTAACTACAGTTATGACAAATGACTGTAGAAAGGACTTCATTGGTGTTACATGGTAGATGAACTTTATGTACTTACAGCTTGAATACTTGTGGGCCTTAAACCCATAACATAAAATATTCGTATTAGAAAAAACTTTTTTCTTCATCAAAATCCAGCGAATCTGTAAATGTTTTGGATATTATAAATATACTTTAATCCTATATTAGCTACCGATGTTCTAGCACAGTGAAAGTACTATAACCTTTCTGAACTTGCAGTTATGCCTTTATCTCTTGTTCCAGTAAGGAAAAGAGCCCAAACACTTGTGTGATAACTTTAAACCCGTATAATTTAATATAGTACATATTAAGGATAATACCCAAAAATAATTTTTAAAAAGCTACATAAGAGTATCTCAAAACGGACACCTTCCTTTTCACAAAAAAAGGTCTGGTTTACAACATTCTCTACTAAGACTGTTAAAGTTATGAGATTATTTTCAACCTTATGTAAATTGTTTATTTTAAACTATATATGTGGCATTACTATAATGTTTGCTGTCCTGCTTTTTAAATATAAATAGACCTCTTGTTCCAGAACCTGTGTAGCTTCTGCAGGAAGTTTTCTTCTGGCTGAATGAGATCTGAAGTGCAAATATTTGCAGCTAATTTTTTAACCTATGTTTGGCACAAGAATCCTCCTGCATTGCTTGTTCCATGTCCAAGGCAACTGCTACTTCAGCATCTTCAAGGACAGAGACCGGTGAAGCAATTTTATGATGGGTATGACAAGATTACTCACTCGTAAGTATAATTTTTGGAAAAACTCCAACTCCACAGACGGTCACTTCCTCTATCCCCATTGAGTTTTGTAACCCTGTGGTTATCATTCTCACTTGAAGTCCCGACCAGTGCTGCTCTGGGTTTGAACAACTTTTTTCCATTGTGTGCAGGATGCTAACCTGCAAGGTGCAGAGCAATTTGAAGAAAGCTCTGTAGTATGAAGTTCTATCATTTGTCATGTATGATGGCAGATGATCCTAATATCGCTCTTCAAACCTGAATTCTTGTGGGAGCTGAAGAAGATGATAGGAATATAAAGAATCTACAGAAATTGTTCAGTACCTTGCAGGATAAAACTATTACAATCTGCTAGTCTTTATGAATAACATAAGTCTAAAAACTGAATCTGCTGAGAATTCCAGTGATAGGCAGCAGATAACCTGATTTTATTAATAATGAAGCAGTATACACATTCCTGTTTCCTCCTCCATACATCCCTAGCAATTCTTTCATCATGACTGTCACCAAAGCAGTTACAATCCTTCACCAGTGCAAGAAAAGATAAAGACATGTTATTACATGATGGCTGATCCTTTAGCTTCACTCAAGAATGGACAGAATAACTCACTTAAAAATACCTCATTTCTGACTTTATTTTAATAGTTATTTTCGTGAGGAAATCAAAGTCAGAAATGAGACCAACCTGTAATGTTACTGTAGGTTCTTGAGAATCATTTAGACCAGAATTTAATGGTTTTTTTAATAGATATATAGAGGCTTTCTCACAAGGCTTTTCTATTTGTCATTATGTGTCAAAATTTGCAGTCAGCAACACTTGCATGATATTACTGGCGTGCTGAACTCATGATTTACTGAAGTTCATCTGTTACCGCTCCCAACTCTGAAGAATCAGGCAGTGGGCACTGCTGGAGGCAGACTGCCAAGCCTGACGGGCGAATTCCTTAATGAACTCTGGTAATTATCTTCCCATGAATAATCTGTTCCAGAGCATACAATATTTTGGTACAGCATACTGCAAAACATAATTTCAGCCCACAATAAAACAACTTCTGAATAGGTCATAGTATTCAAGTAGTAGATAGAGTAGAATAAGTTAGCATCTGAGGTATCATTTGTAGATATTCCAAGATGTCATTTTCTTCTAAAATATTTCTTTACAGTCCTGTAAAAAAGCCTTAAGTACTAAATAGTATCTGTATTATTTGTACTTCTGATTATTTACATTACTACTCAAAACATGTATACTTTCCTTCCTCTTCCCTTCTAAGATTTTTTTTTTTTTGAAATTGAGTTGTATTCACATTTTCTCCCCTTCTGCAATTGCTGTTCTGCTTGTACTTCTTTGGAAATTTCAGACACCCTCTACACTTGTAGATAGTTTATCACACAGTCCTTTTAATATGCTAATATATTGCAGTAATTCATCTTACACCACTAATGAAGTGAAATAAAAAGGAAAATTTAAAAAAAAAAAAAAAAACAAGTGTCGATGGTGGTTCTATGCCCGCGGTGGGGGGGGTGGGGGAGAGAGGCACGTTTATTACTTCACCCTCAGCAGTTATCAATACGCAAGCAAACAATACTGGGACAGGTTCTGCCGCGTTTAGGCTAAAAGAGTTGGCCTAACATTCTGACGTGTTAACGGTGGTCGAAAGTTGGGTCGTTTTAGGCCGAGCGCTGGCGCTTGAACGCCAGAGGCTGCTCGGTTTGCCTGACGGGCACGCAGTCGCCGCCG